TACGATTTTCGGATTTTTTTGGGCATGAATTATGGCTGGCTGGATGCGGACCTCCGCAATTTGAGCAAATTGCAGGTGCATCAGCCTCTTTATCACAGGATTTAGTGTGATGGGATTTGGCGCACCTCACGCAACGCGGTTCCGCAAAACAGTTCGAAGTAGCATGGCCGAATTGCTGGCAATTGTGGCACTGACGTACCCCATTACCGCGCCTCGGCGTCACCACTCGAACCCTCAGCGAGCCCACATGCGTGATGTCGAAGATATGGGTTTGATTTTTAGGAATTCTGACTTTGATGACGGGCAGAGGAATACCATCGCGTGAGAGGCGATGCATTTCCCTGACCTCGAAACCTTAGGAAGTTAGGTCTTCAATTATTGCCGAGTTGTCGACAAAAACTTCTACACCTTTAATTAGGACATTAAGATCCCTGTCTTCAGGGGAAAAGTAAGTATGGAAGGGAATTTGCTTGTTTTTGAAGTAATCGACGATGGCCCTATGGTCATCAGAAGAAGAGGGAGTGATTCTAATGCCGAGAGGCACAGTTTTTTTGCTTCGGAAAAGCAGATTTTCTGCTCTTTGAAGGATCTTGTGATACTCATCCAGAGACGAGTATCACGAAGTACGACTTGGGGAGGCTTTTGGGCCCTTTGCTTTGGATTGAGGCTCCTGCTGCATTTGAGGAGCAGCAGGGGGAGTTTTGGGTTGAGGCTCCTGCTGTGTTTGAGGAACAGCAGGGGGGTTTTTGGGATGGGACACCTGTTGCTTTTGAGGAGCAGCAGGGGGAATTTTAGGTTGAGGCTCCTGCTGTGTTTGAAGAACAGCAGGGGGGGGTTTGGGTTTAGGCTCCGCCCTCCCACCGCTCTGTTACGGTTCTGATATCTCATTGGTCGCTCACGCCGGCTATTTAAATCGACTGCGCTGTAGCGGCCGCATCAGTATAGTCAACGACGTGACGACGTACGTTACTCAGGTTTTCCTCCAAGTTTCTTTACACATATTTTATTAACCAAAAATGTCTGGCCGTGGTAAAGGTGGAAAAGTGAAGGGAAAGGCAAAGTCTCGTTCCAATCGTGCAGGATTACAATTTCCCGTCGGTCGTATTCACAGATTGTTGCGTAAAGGCAACTATGCAGAGCGTGTAGGAGCCGGAGCTCCGGTTTACCTGGCTGCTGTTATGGAATATTTGGCTGCCGAAGTTTTGGAATTGGCAGGTAATGCCGCCAGAGATAACAAGAAGACCAGAATTATCCCTCGTCATCTTCAACTAGCCATCAGAAACGACGAAGAATTAAACAAATTGTTATCTGGTGTGACCATAGCTCAAGGCGGTGTTTTGCCTAATATTCAAGCCGTTCTGTTGCCAAAGAAAACCGACAGCAAAACCAAATAAACAATCTTGACGGTTCCTTACCTAGCAGATCGCAACCTAAAATCGGTCCTTTTCAGGACCAACAACTATATTTTCGAAAGAAAGAAATTTTTAATGTTTTTAACCAATTTTATTTTATAAAGATGTGGTAACGCTGCGTTAATATCTTGCACTCGAGTTAATATCATGTTTGGATCTATCATAGGGCGTTAGGTATAAAACTCACGGTATGACAATAAATATAAATCGAGATTGACAAAAAGGGAATGCCAAGCCGTTTTGATTACCAACGTAACGTCAATTTATTTTTTTTTACCTGTAATAATTGTAAATTTGTTAGCAACAACAAAAAGCTCGACTTAAACATTTAAGATTTACTTAGAATTTTATTTATATAGAGTAGATTGGTGAGGGCCGGCTTGTTTTTATATCGATGTAAAGCAATATATTTTCGAATTTAAATAATATCTTAGTATTAAGGATAGTAAAATGATTATAGATAATAATAAGGTTATTTTTTTTACTTTGAGACCGTTATATTTGAAGGGTAAGGTTTATTTATATAGAGTAGATTGGTGAGGGCCGGCTTGTTTTTATATCGATGTAAAGCAATATACTTTCGAATTTAAATAATATCTTAGTATTAAGGATAGTAAAATGATTATAGATAATAATAAGGTTATTTTTTTTACTTTGAGACCGTTATATTTGAAGGGTAAGGTTTATTTATATAGAGTAGATTGGTGAGGGCCGGCTGGTTTTTATATCGATGTAAAGCAATATACTTTCGAATTTAAATAATATCTTAGTATTAAGGATAGTAAAATGATTATAGATAATAATAAGGTTATTTTTTTTACTTTGAGACCGTTATATTTGAAGGGTAAGGGGGTGGGACGGATTATAATTATTACCATAAGTAAGCAAGTTTTTTCTTTTTTTTAATTAAGAAATTTGTGGTTCTGAAAAGAACCGATTTTTGAAAATTATTTCAATTAAGAAATATATTTTCTATTGTTTTATCTCGTACGTCGTCTAGGTATAAGATCTGATGTTGTCATTGTCCTTATGGCAAATATATTGTTCGTACCCGCCGTAAAAATTACTTCTTCTTCTTAGGAGAGGCAGCTTTTTTGGCTTTGGAGCCGGCGGAAGCTGCTGCGGTAGATGTTTTTGCTGTTTTTGGTTTTGGGGCCTTAGGTTTTTTTGTCGGTCCAGCTTTGTTGGACTTTTTCGCCTTAGAGGGAGATTTGGGTTTAGCAGAGGCGGCAGTCGCTGCTCCACCAGAGGCGGCTTTCTTCTTTTCGGCTGCTTTCTTTCCGGCTACTTTTTTCTCCGACGAAGCGGCTGCCGCTTTTTTAGCTTTTGGAGATCCGGCAGCTTTTTTCGGGGCTTTCTTTTCGGTAGCTGCTGATTTCTTTGCGGCGCCTTTCTTGGCTTTAGCTCCGACACCCTTCTTTCTATCTCCTGCGGCTGACGATGTAGCTCCGCCGCTCGATGATTGTTTAGATTGGGCCGACGAACTTGAAGCTGCCAGTTTGAAAGAACCGGACGCACCTTTACCTTTGGTCTGGACTAAGGTTCCGGATATTACTGCCGATTTCAAATACTTTTTAATAAACGGTGCTACCTTTTCCGCGTCCACTTTATAATTAGCAGCTATGTACTTCTTGATGGCTTGTAAAGAAGAACCTCCTCTCTCTTTCAATCCTTTAATAGCGTTGGTTACCATCTCCGATGTCGGGGGATGGGTAGGTTTTGACCTGGGATTTTTAGCTTTCGAAGATTTTTCCTTTTTCAATGAGGAGGCCGATGTACTTCCGGCTCCTGCGTTAGGTTGATTCGAAGGCGACGTGGCCTGTCCACTAACTTCTGCATCTGCCATAACTGATAGATTATTATCACTAACAACGACAATTAAAAATTCGCTAAAATAATATCGAGAGATAGAGCGCGCACGTTAACGTGTTCACTGGTCGCTACGAATTGCCCGTCTGACAAATATTCCGGTGGTCGTATCAAAACGGGCGGAGGGAGGACTGAACGGTGCGGCCACGACGATGCTCCGTATTCCGGCTTCGCTCGTACCTTTAGCGCACTGGGAGCTATATTTTTTCTAATTGTTTTTTATATTACAATAAATACTCGGTCGAGACTACGATCGAACTGTCGCTTTAACGGTACTGCAAATTTTGTAGGGAATACGAATTTTGGCCTGTTATTCTAGGATTTGTCGCTTAAAAATCGTCTCAAACAGGACGCCGTTCGCATTTCAAGTTAAAATTTTTATTTCATTCGCATATATTATTTGCTTGGCAACGATTCCGTGACAATCGTTTTAACTACAAGTACTTCAATGTATCCTCTGTAAGATTAACGAATTACTTCGATGTCGTTTCGAATCGCTATCGAAAAAAAAAATATTATGCCGGCCCCGCGCCGTTTCTCTTTGAGCCCAAAACGAAGGCTCACGTTAACTGGAAATCTAACATTTCGGTTTAAAAAGTGGAGAATGAGTCTGGCGTTTAAAAGTTAAGGAAAATAAAACAGTGGACAAGATTAAAAGGTCCATCATATTTAGGGAAATTGATTTATATGCCGAACGTAGCCAAAGTATGTCTAAAATGTTTCGTACGCTTGAGAAATCTGCGTTAAAAATTAACCGTATCTACGTGCTGAAACCCATATAGAATGGTACTATTCTATTCAAGAATAAGCGTTGTAAAAGCGCGTCTTCTATTATATAGAAGAAGATCTTTCGACACCGTTCAATAATGCATACATAAAATTAGCAGTAACAACGAACGTATCGGATTGTCGATCGAACAGTATGAACTTACGATACACAATAGAGAATTGTCTTATTACTTTATATCCGAAACGGATATCATGTATTCTACACTTACTAATTATCTATTGCTAGCGAAAAACAAACTACATATTTCCTAAATTAACGTGTAAACGTATGCAAATGCGGTAATAATACTTAACAAAGTTTTCTTGTTCCTTTTTTTTATGCGATTCTAATTTGTGGTTCTGAAAAGAACCGTTTTGTTTGAATGTTATCGAATAAAAATCCAGCTTGGGGTAAATGATGCATAATTTAACCGCCGAATCCGTACAAGGTACGACCTTGACGTTTCAAAGCGTAGACAACGTCCATGGCGGTGACGGTTTTCCTTTTGGCGTGTTCGGTGTAGGTGACAGCGTCTCTGATTACGTTTTCCAGGAACACTTTTAAGACACCTCTGGTTTCTTCGTAGATTAAACCGGAGATACGTTTTACACCTCCACGACGGGCCAATCTTCTAATCGCGGGTTTCGTGATACCTTGGATGTTATCACGCAAAACTTTGCGATGACGCTTGGCGCCACCTTTACCTAATCCTTTTCCTCCTTTACCTCTGCCGGTCATCTTGTTATTAAGATGTACTGTACAATTAAAGTCGAAATGAAAAAATCGTACAACGAAACGGACCCGTTAGGATGTAACGAACGACTGCTGCCCCGGCTCGAGATTGCGCCGGTTTTGTTAAGTTTCTAGGCTCCGCCTCCGATCGTCGTCGTAGACCAATAGCAGTAGTCGAGGTAAGTAACAAAAACGGAATTCGTTCGAAGGAATGAATCAGTTGTCGACTAACCGTAAACGTTTGCGTATCAGTCGTCTAGACAATCTATATTTTATCTTTCTGTGTATATTTTATCGATTTCGGTGTAATAATGGCACGTACTAAACAAACCGCTCGTAAATCTACCGGTGGAAAAGCTCCCCGAAAACAGTTGGCCACTAAGGCTGCCAGGAAGAGCGCTCCCGCAACAGGAGGTGTTAAAAAACCACATCGTTACAGGCCTGGAACTGTGGCGCTTCGTGAAATCCGTCGTTATCAGAAGAGTACCGAATTGTTAATCAGAAAATTGCCCTTCCAACGTTTGGTTCGTGAAATCGCCCAGGATTTCAAAACCGATCTTCGTTTCCAAAGTTCCGCTGTTATGGCTTTGCAAGAGGCCAGCGAAGCTTATTTGGTCGGGCTTTTTGAAGATACCAACCTTTGCGCCATCCACGCCAAGCGCGTCACCATTATGCCTAAGGACATCCAATTGGCTAGGCGTATCAGAGGAGAACGTGCTTAAATGACGAATTCATCCGACTAGTAAATTATCTACCTATCGAAAAAAAAATCGGTTCTTTTCAGAACCACAAATTCGTTTTGCATAAAAAAAGAAATATAGAAAAACACTTGGTCGATTTATAGACGGTTTAAAATAAAGAAGGAACATTAGAAGTATGACATTTCATATAATTCTAGAAAATTGAAAATTTTCAACGTTGTCATGTCTTGTGCTTTTTCGGTATACTTAACTTTTTAACTGCGAATTACTGAGACGAATGTCTTCGTTATCGCAATATTTACCGTAATTGTTTAAATAAGTGGTTATTGTTCGTTTTTAGTAGAGGGAGATTGTCGATTCTCTATAAATCTATATTACGTTATATACAGGGTGTCCCAGAAATAAGTCCAAGTATTTTAAGGGGTGGTAGAACTGGTCAAAAGAAACGTTTCTCTTTTTACCGTTTTTCAATTAAGTCCAAAATAATCGAGTATATATGTAACTTTGAAATTTTGCAAAATAAATGATTTTTATAAGCTTTTATTTAACTTGCTTTGTATGTAACTATCTATGTATGTATGTTTGTTCGGGCCAAATCTTGTAAGCTAAATTAGAACCACTTCCTTTATTGTAGGAAATTGAAATTCGGCATGTAGGTTCAGTCCCGATGACAATACATTTGTTTGCAAGGCATAACCCGAATTTTTGAGGTTTTAGACTTTTTAAAAGTCTATTTATGAATGGATGGGGCTGAAATTATATATTTATGTATATTGTGGGTATATAAATATGAATAAAAAGTATATGTAACAAGTTTATTTTACTTAATTATTTATTAATTACAATCTATAAGGATTAATTTTAGATATATTACATATCTTCTTAGCGTTTAAACTTTTTTTTCTTGTCCATGTGGATTCGTTCTTCAGCTGGAATAATATTGATAATTTTCTTATATACCTAGTGGTTTTCTGGACATTGATTCCGAATAACCTTGGCAAACCCTGTCTAATAATTTCCAACCCCATGCTCGGATTTAGCAGCATCTTTAATTTATCCTTATTTTCCTGGTGAACGGCTTTCCGTAATGATTTTCTCAGTATTGGATCTCCTTGAACAATGGAATCGAAGTAACTAACAGTCCTCACAGTTACTAATAAGGAAGCTGGATCTAACAGCCTCAAAATTATGCACCAAACTTCTACAGAAAGTTGTGGTAACACTGTACAGTATACTGTAGTATAGGCGCAGATAATGGGTAGCAGTTGATACATTTTCAGGTAGGTACAGTAACAGCACAATAACAGTTAGGATAATAATGATCACAATCCTTAAAAACGTGCTATTTATACCTATGTATGCCCAGCCAACCATGTCAAATGCAGCGAAGCGCACGGAATAGTCAGCCATCATATCTTATACTGTCTGGTACGGTTCCTAGATGTTCTCAATGACAAAATAGAATAAAAAAATATTTTATGTGCAATTATTTTTCATGTAATAATTCTAAGTAGATGTATTTCCTTTTTTTTATTCAATAGATACTCGTTATGGGCAATATAGTTATCGATATTAAAATCGATATATAGGATAGCCGTGGGCTAAAATGAAAGAAAAAAAATTGAGCTGTCAAATTTAACAAAAAAACAAATTAAAATTTTGATAAAAATCGATATATTGAAGGCCCTCTATCCCATACTCGGTTTTCATTTTATTTGTCTCACTACTGTCAAATTTGACAGCTGTCGTTTTTCTTAAGTTCTCCTTATTTAATGAAAATCGATATACATATTGTTGGGATGCCCATAGGAAGTAATTTAAGAAAAAAAGAATTGAGTTTAAGTGTGTGGCACTGAGAAAGCAGCATAACTAAAAGGTAGAAAATAAATTTTAGAAAAAAAAACTTTTTTAAAAACAAGCTTTTATTTAAATAGACTAAAAAGAAAAAATAAACTTTTTCTTTAATACTTTTGTTATGAACTTATAACGTTATTACACAATTTTAAAAAATATATAA